CAAGCGTGTCCAGGTCCCTCTGGATGGCAAAACAAGTCTTTATCACAAACATTCATATTCCCCCAAGGGATCAACTGGCACAGGCTTTTGATGTTTGAGCAAGCCTAAACTGAAACATATGCTTAACAAACTGCTTTCTGAGGAATTAAGAAATCCTTTCACACTCCTTTGAGAGTAATTTTGGACAGCTGTTGGACACAGCTAGAAAGCTAGCACAGTTGAGCGTGGTCTTACCTAAACAGACTCGCCCTGTTCCATCCAGTGTCAGTCCTTCAGGGCACTCACAGTGAAAGGAGCCTCTACTGTTTATGCACCGCCCATTGGGACAAATCCCAGGGAAAACATCACATTCATTTACATCTGTTCAGGAAACAAAGAGTTGAGTTATACAAAGGAGACAGCTACAGCTTTATTGGGAATTTAAGCTACATGAAAGAAAGCAAGAAGCTTTCATGCATAGTGTATTAGGTCTGAACACTGTTCTGAACAAGCATTTGGCTCAATCTCAAGGGACTCTTTCAACATCTTCAATCATAGGGCACTAAGATCCCACATTCACTTCTCTTAGACAAGATGATGGATATGGTTTTAGAAAAAGGAAAAATTAAAGGGATTAAACGTATTTTGAAGAAGCATTTCCATTCTCCGTATTGTTTTTATATTCTTCAACAAACAGTGTAACATAACACTTCTCCACAGTCAGTAACTTGAAGACAGTCATCTAAGGTCAATATGATTATGCCTAACAAAACCAACATAATAAATCCCCTTTTATCTCATTTTTTAAAGGAAAAAAAAAAAGTGACATCTTCAGTAAGAAGCAAAACTTCACCTTCACAGGTAACACCCTTCACTCTGGCAAATCCTCTTGAGCAAGCTGTGTCTGGAATCAAGCCAGAAAGATATATCACTGATTAGAATGACAGAAACATAGGAGTAAATAATTTCAAAATAAATATATCTTCTGATTTCTCTAATAATTTGACTATATATGGTGGTGAGTGCTGTAGCCTAAATTAAGAAAAGTAGTGAGTCATTTACGTTGCTTAAAACAAGTGAATAATTAAGCAAATTAAACCTTAGACAATTACTTTGTCATGTGCTTTCCTTAACAGAGATAAGAATGCTCAGGTGAAGAGGTAGTTACGAATCTACTCATATCAACCTCTGCACTCAGATGTAGCTGAAAGGTAAATTTCCTGTGAACTTGCCTGAAGATTTAAAGCTTTAGTGATGCCAGTTATCACAAAGGGCTTTTTTACCACTGCAGCTTACTAAAGGATCTGTCCAATGACATTATTTTAGGATGTAAAATGTTGCATGATATAGTGATATGAAAGCTTGCTGAAATTTAGAGAATAGGAAACTACATGGTCACATCTACCCAGAATGAGCTAATTAGCTATCTAGATTTATCAGTGACTGATCAGTTCCACCAGTCTAACCTGACCATGCTGCTTCCTGGAGTCCAAAGTAGTATCTTTGCTTAATGCTGCACTGCACAGTTAAGAGTTCTGTTGGATGTTGTTTACATCGTGCTTGTTAGATGGGATACATGTGCCCACAGCTACTGTACTAATTAAAAATGAAAGGCTAAAATGTCCTGACACTAGTTGAGCTGCAAGTGGCATTATTCAAATCATATGGGGAGAATGCGGCACAGTATTTTTTCCACAAAATAAAGCATTTCCTGCTTCCAACTTCTAGACTTAGCCCTATAACCTAACAGCATTTCTATTCTGCAATCAGTAATTGTACATAATCCATGTATTTGAAAACAGCTGGAAAAAAGTGTTAACCATCCACAACATAAAAACCCACAAGACTTTATTCAGATATTTCACTTTTATTACTGTAGTCCTTACTTCCCTAGCCCAATGCACAGTCCCTGTGGAGATGAAACATATGCAATTATTGAAAGATTTATCCACACATTATTAGAATGTCCTAAGTTATTAGAATGATCTTTGATGGTGGAGATTACAAATAACACTAAATAAGACAACTTAATTTCATAGGTTTTTTGTGTTGTCTGTCTGTTTTCTACACAGAAAATCATGAGAATCTATCTAGTGGACCTTCTCTGTTCTCCCAAAAGATCACAAAAAAGATCTGGGAAAGGAAAACGCCTTTAAGATCGAGTCCAACAGATGTAGGATATGAGAGCATACCTAATTCACATCGCTCACATGGGCTGCCCCAAGCTGCACCTAAAGTAGCACAACACTCAGATTTCAGTGTAGCACCATTGATGTTGACTTCACAGCGACTGTCTTGGATGTTAAGCCAGCAAGTCCCCTTCAGGCTATCTGCAGCAGAATAGAAAACAATAGGGAATCATTACAGAAAAAAAGCTGGCATGCCATGTTCATGCCACCAGTTAGACGAGAGTACCAAGAGAGTGCAGGCTTTCTTTTAAAAGAAAACCTTCCACTAGAGTAATTTTGTACATATTTTAGTTTAGAAGTGGTGGAAAGGGACAGCAGTATCACTAAAAGTGAGCAACAGAGAACACTGAATCATTTTATAGTTCAGGTCCCACAGCTAGCAGAGGTCCTCCAGATACTACAGTGGATTTATTTATCTCTTTTATCAAGTGACAGATCAGCCTAAAATGAACAAGTCACAACAAAAGCAGAGATCACAACCTCAGAATCCGCGTTCCAGATGACTGTCTAGACCACTGGCTTATGAAATCCAGGTGCTCTTGCCTCTCTCCCACTCAGTGAACCGTCATAGTTGTCAGGAAGGAAATAAAGATAAAAATGTGGGAGATAAGGGTGTGCTGTATTCTTTGAGGGGTCTGCTTTTGCTGGTGCATTAGCTATGCTTTGAACATGCCTGTTAGGTTATACTCTACCCTCTGCTCTTGAGAGCTCAGCCCCAACACATCCTGCTCCTGAATCACAAATTGAGTTACCAGGCTGGGAATGGGCAAACCCATTCCAGTAAGTGCCCAGAAACATCAAACAGCACCTCCTGACTGTTGTCCAGGCTAGACAGCCACTGAGCAGAGGGGAGAATTTCAGCCAGAAGTGTTGTCTCTGCTGCCTGAAATCTTCTGAAATTCTCTTTTACGTACCTAAATCTTCAAGTCTTTATATCTATGCTTTTGGTACCCAAGCTGTTTTCTAAAATGGCAGTTAGATCCTAAATCAGTTACATACTTTAGAATTTGTACTTATAGCACTTTTGTTCAGTACTTCTACAATGTCACACTTAAATGGTATAAGCAGACAACAACCTTTGTGATCAGTTAGGAAAAGCAATCTGTAAAGATCTAAACCATATTGGGAGGTGTGCGTGGGTAGAGTTTTAATACATGTGATACATGTGCATACTCAGAGTACAAAGCTAAGCAAGTGGCCCAGATGAATTAATGAGATGACTAATGAAAGAGGAATAGGACTTGGCTTTAAGAGTTACATATGTTATACGTACAAAAAGTCAGACCATCTATTAGGTGCTGTTGATGAGTATTACTAATACCTAATTTTTAGCAGCAATGTGCTTAAGATACGATCATTCCAGCTATGTTTTTAAACAACTTGAACTTTCCTACAGAATTTTTATGCGATAAATTTTGTAGACCACAGAGAGCACAACCCTTCTTTGGCTAAAGGAAGAGGAAAAAAACTGGCCCAAGAATGTGACTGGAATCAGCCCTAGAAACTGGGCAACATAATTCATTAACAGTCTAAACCAGTCGTATTACCTACGTTAACATTGGTCCCAAACTCATGAGGCAGAACACCAACCTTAAAAAAGCAGACAAACTAACGAGTGGTGTAGAAGAGTGGAAAAGGCATCTTTTCCACACATTGATCAGCCTTTTGTTAACAGTCAAGACTTGGGTTAACATAATAAACCTGCACAGTCATTAGCTGGGTCAGCTCTTAGCCAGTCATGGGACAGGCACCACATGTCCCAAATTGAGGGAGCAACTTGGGGAGAGGAAATATAGGTTCTTTATCTGCATTTTTACACCATATCCAACTTGCTGCCCATATATTGATGTCTCTATTTTATGAAAATGTAAATGCTTCCGTTGCTTTATTCACTAGAAATTTCTTGAGCTCAATATTATTTCTTTTTTAGTAGCCAGCTTTAAAGGATGGAAAAATCAAAATAATATCTCAAAAAGTATTTAAATTATACATATTAGCAGGTGACTTTTCTCATACCAGCTGCATCTACATTATCCTGCCAAGATGCTTGTCTTATCTTCTTCAGGCTGAATTAATTTCATTTATTTTACATAATCTCTTTCGTCCAGTTGAAATCTACAATGGGCAGTCACTGTAACTTTTGCTTTGGTGAAAAAGTTATTATAAAGCATCAAAGCATTCTTTCTGTGGCTTGCATCTCTTTGATTCTGACTTGAAGAAGAATATAGGCATACTACAGGCAGATGGCACAAATCTTGACTAAAACATGCATAAAAAGCATGTATTAAATGCATACTTCAGAAAGCACAAATGGCAGCATTGTTGTTGTATAAGCAATTCCCAAAATAACAATGCAACACTTTTACCAGTAACAGATATACTTCAAAAACAATTCCACTTTTATCCTCTGAGAGTGCAGACTCAACTTTGCAAACACTGTCAGTGTGCAAGCAAAGTAAATGCAAAATATGTCAATATTTTTGCTGGATGCTGCTGAACTATCAACCCTCATTTGCTGGAGGTTTCAGCTGAAATATCGAGTACAAATGTTGTGCCTTGAATTCTTACTGTAATTTGAGCAAGTCGCTTTTTCCCTGCCCAAGAAAGTTCACAGAAAGAGACAAATGGCTCACATCTATGCTGAATTTGTACAGGTAATATGGATGCAAGTGGCTTAAGCCACCTGGTTCTTCAGCCCTGAGGCTGAGCAGACTGAGCATGGGAACCTGAGGAACTGACAGACTGACAGACTGAAGCCTTCTGTCCACAAACTTACTAAAGAACATGCAACAGCCATACAGCTTTTCCATACAAGATCAGTCTAACATGCTGTACATGACCTCAGTTGACAAGACAGTGAAAATCAGCAATAAGACCAAGTAGCAACAAATACACTGGAGCAATAAATTGTAAAAATAAAATTAACAGTGATGGTATATTAATCCTTTCTTATTCTAACATTGGTGTAATGTGCTTTTACTTAAAAATTTTGTGCTGTTTTTAAGATCAATAACTTTAATCATAAAAGAAAGAAAGAAAGGAAAACTCACATAATGTAGGACTGATTCTGGTTCTGACATGAGAGCAAATTTGAAACTAAAGAAAAACCAAAGGAGGGGCCCAGAACCTGACAGTACCTTTGATCATTCTTATGCAGAACACAACACATTCCCAAACGACATCACTATTTTAGCCATCCATTTATGTTTTGGCACATGCTTTTCTTATCTGATACTACCGGAATGATTTACAGGGAGCAAGCCACTAAAAAAATCAGAGTAAATACCTCCAAGATACAAATCTTTCACTGCAGTGGTAATGGGAAAAACCAACTTGCTCTACTGTAGAGATTTAAAATGGCATACGAGAGCATTTGAAAGTTTTTCACACAGTAAACTACTTAAAAATTCCAACCCCTTACTCGCTTTTCAATAACCCAGTCTGGCCTTCTCTAATCACTACCAATTCCAATGGAAATTTTGCCAAGATAATATAACACACAACTGGGCTCTAACACTGTGAATCTGTATGTCTCGCATTAGCTGTACTTCTGACCCTTCTGTCCTAACATATACTCACCTCTAGTACCGAAATTTTTTTCTGAGACTATTTTGGTCAATCTGAAAAATTAATGATTAGGCTCACAGTACATAGCTGGCTTCTATGATTCACTTTATATTTGACTGTTCAGGCATTTTTTTTGTGTTTACATATCACTAATATTCAGGCCAAGTGGGAACTTGCACTCTTAACATACCAGTGGAAACTGTTTGCAAAGTAAACCCATAATATTGTTATAATAAGGCTCTTAATGAACTTGCAGCATCTTTGGATGTGAGAACACAAGACTGAAAATACGCAGTACGAAAAAACATAGATTAGCATGGTCATATCAAGAAATTAACACAATGCAAAAAAAAGAAGAAAAACAATACTGAACTTCACTGGCCAGTGATGCTACAGGGAAATCTAAGAGAAGGCTTAGGCACAGAAGTTAACATTCACTTAAAAAACATATTAAGGCATAGACAGACTCCATCCTTAAATGGAAACTTGAGTCTTTGCATTTAATTTCCTATCTTAAGAAAATCTTGGCAAGGCAAGAACGTTGAATCAAGAACACCAGACAAATCCATCTTAAAATAAAAGGAACATTTAAAATTAGCATCATTCAGTTATTTATCACACTCCAATCCACTTTATCCCATATATACTAAAATGACTTCAATTATGTTACACAAATAAGATGAAACAATGGCAGCTTGTGATCACCTGAGAAGTACAGATGTCTCCAATTCTTTGAGTTTTCTTGGAAATGCAAGTTAAAAAAAACATTAATGAACGGCTTCCAAAGATACTGCCAATGACATCTTGCAGACAACTGTTGCTGCTTGCTCCAATAGAATCTGTGCAGTGCTCTGCTTTTTTTCAATGCAACAGAATCCTCAAAGGATGCCAACATTATTTATTTTTAAATATGTACATATACATATTTTGTGTGTGTGTGTATAAGAAACCAAGACGTGTCTCAACTCGTGTCTGCTTCAGGTGCAGGGATCCTGACAAATTCAGAACTGTCTTACTCACCTTTACCAGCTTCCTACAAAAGAGGTTCAGTATGAGATTGTGCTATAATGAAAGCCACTCGCATTTCATTATAGCTAGGAAAATCAGTCTTCACAGTTTATGAAGAACGTCCTGAACCCTAGAAGCCATGTGATTTCCTACCATTATTTGAATAGATGTTCCTTCAGTTTTTCTTGTTTTCTTGTCTCAGATTTAAAAGTGGCTAAAGAACTCGATGGGCATTTTTGCTCTACAGTTTCTCTACTACCAGACTAACAGCTTTACCCATATTCTCATTCTCCAAGATAATTTCTATTAATAACGACATCCCCACTCTCTCCCACCAATCAATACCTGCATTTCGCCACTTTCAGTGTAGTTTTGACATTCTCATGAATTATGTTCCACTCAGTTTGCTCCTGCTGCTATTGAAGCAATCAAATTAATATGTGTTTGTTTGGTCTTACCTACAGAGACATACTGTCTCCTGTTGTGGGAAATTACTCAAATACATTATTTTTCTTGCTTAATCAATATGAATAATGCTTTCCAAGTTGGTAAGGAAAAGGGAAAATAACAGGAGAAAATACCCACCAATACATATCAGTCCTGTAGGGTCCAACTTGCTGCCAGATGAACATTCACAACTGAAAGATCCAAGGTTGTTCCGGCAGGCACCATTTACACACGGACTGCTTTCACATTCATCTATATCTATAATCCAGAAACAAAAGACACTTAAAACTACAGTGTGCTTCTGGAAAATTTTATACAGTATAAATGCTTCTGTGGATGATGTTTTGCCAAGAGTGCCTGGTATATTTGTCCCCCTTCACCCTATCAGCATGACATTCAAAAGATGCAACAACAGGCACATGTATAGAAGCACATATTTTGAAAACGTTAATTAAATGGTTCTTGTCTATAAAGATAGTAGTTTCCAACAACTTGGACTATAAAGTTTTCCAGCATCAACTGTAACTGTCCTGTGAGAAAACAAAATTCTTGCTTCATAGAATGCACTGCATTTCCAGCCACAGCATGCAGTGTACAAACAAAGACCTTATTGTTTCTGTCATTTACGGCTCCATGAGGCTTTGGAAGAATTAAGAAAGCCCTGTTAGAAGCAAAATATAACAATGCTGGCTGTGATTCTTATGTTTTGGAAAGAGTTCAACAAATAGGAGTTGAAACTGGAATACTGTAAATGGTACTTCCCTTGAGTCCCTAACTACTTCTATTTATTACCCCTGTGAGTTTTTTAATCGTGTTCACTTGTAAGAATAGGACTCCTGCGGATTGCACTATTTGCTGATTATTTTTTGGTAAGTGAAATCAGTTATAAAACAATATTAGCAAATCCTTTCAAAGAACAATTGCAGATGGATATCCACCATTTCTTCCTCAACTCAATCAATTTCATTTTTGGATTTAGGTCCTGAATTAAGCCATATATTGTAATCCCACCAGACATTTCCTTTGGTATGCCAGAAATAAAACCGTTTAGTCCTTGATTATGTTTGCTAGTAGTGCTTGAGGAATAATGTCATATCCAAAGACTAAAGTAGCCTGGTATAAATTAATTTTTAAATTAATGCAAGATCTAGTTAAGCACTGGAAACACTAATAGCATCAAGAGACCATTTTCAAGACAAACAAAAACCATGTTCTTTTTTTTTTAGAAGTCACGAAAAAGGCATCATTTGGTATGTTATGATGCATTAAGTCTAATTTCACTAGAGATTTATTCTTTCATAATCTTCTGGGGTCATAGTGAGGAATATGTGTTTAAAATACCCACCAAATTATGTATATATTATTAGGAAAAAAAAAAAAGAAAGAAAAAAAAAAAAAAGAGATGGAAAATGCCCAGGAATCAGTACATTGAGGAAACTGATTCCTCTCTCATGCCAAAAGCAAACACTTAATTTAAAAGGCAATTTTCACAGTCCCTTTATACAATTACCTACAATTACCTACAGAGATCAAACGGTACTTGGATGCCAGCAAATTTTTGAATAATGACAGAGCTTTATGTTTGTGCACTCTACTCTTAAACTTGCGAATTACCCGGTTTACGCATTAATACTACACAGATGCAGAGATATCTAGGAGACTCTACTGCATCAACAGTGTGCTATGTGAGCACATCCACACAGCTTCAAAAGCTGGCTGTGCTGCCAGCTGCATTGGCAGCAACCAAACTGGTAAGCCCATCCTGCTACAGGCTGGTAGTCCCACAGGGCATTAGGCAGAGCTTCCACGTTACTCTGACAACATCCTGCTTAGACACAGTTGGTCGTATTTTGTCTCAGACTGGGTCCTGAGCAAGCTAACTATGGAGAGTACAGCACTGTGTATAAGCAGGGAGGGCTAGGCTGGTCTGGCACTACTTATGTACTGATTGATGTGCTGGAAAGTGCAGTACAGAGGTAATCAAGTAGATCTAGAAAGCCAGTTACTTCTGAAAGAGCAAGCTCTAAGTCCCTCTGTATCTGAGCTGGCAGTCTGGAGGGCTTGCCAATGCTTACCTGCATCCCTTCTCCAGCCTGTAAATACATTTCACACTTTATTACCTCAGGTTTTAATACTTAAGGCATGCTCCCTGCCTCCTTTGCCTCCTCCTCTCTCCCCAGCCAGTAATATCTGGTAGTGAAGAGTAGTCTGATGCTTTTGCAGAGAAACCAGATACTGGTTCCCACAATTAGAAACAGATCATACTGAGACAAAGAAGTGATCTTAAATATGCACTGTATGTCAAGTAATTATCCATACAGAAATGCTCTTGGAGAAAGACACACTTTTTCTTCCTTTCTATTTGCCATCTTGCTTTCAGCAGTTTGGCTTGCTTCAAAAAAGAGAGATAAAAATTTAAAAGACAGGACAAATGAACTAAAATTGAGCTATGCATAGCTTCTCCATGGCAGAGGCAAAAACCAAAGGACTGGTAGCCAAACAACTGAAGTAATGGTTCTTTACACAGCAGGTAGAGAAATTGGAAATCCTTGCCCTAGGATGCTGAAAGCTTGCATTAATCAATGGCACCCTGGACAAGCCCATGGGAAATAAAGTCATCAAGGTCTGTATAAGGTGAAGATTGTACTTCTGGTGTCACAAGTCCCTAGACCTCAATTGTTGGGGACTCGAGAGACTATTTTTTGAAAATAATGTTGTACACTTGCTCTGTTGTGGGTCATAAGGATCTTAGATGAGTATCTGCATTTTTATGTCTTTGCTTTTAAGCATATGTGGTTCTCAGTCCAGTTAGTTGTAAGTGTTCTTCCCTGCTCTTGGCTAAGATTCAGAGTAGTTCCCATGAGGGACCAGACATTATCTGTGCCACAGAATATTTGGGGCTTTTGGACACTGAGTACATGCAAAATGAGACTTACAAGTTGGCCACATCTGAGCACGTTTTCAGAGTAAAGAGGCACCGTCCCGACACAGAAACTACTCAAGAAATTTCAAGCTCTAACAGTATAGAGAAGCAGCAGGTTTCTAAAGAAAAAGATCTGTGTATTTATAAATACCCAGATCAACATTTTCTTGGAAATGAACAAAAATATTGACTGAATTTTTAAAAGACTGTCCATTCCACACCAAAGTCAGATGACCTAGTCTAAATCCTCACTTGGGTTTACATCAAACATGTTCCCTGGCAAAACAACTGATTCAGTCTGCCAGGCTGCTGCTATTTGCAGGGGACATTCCCCTTTCACCATTCCTTCTTTTTCTTCCAGTCTCAGTCTTTCCACCCTTCTCAAGTGCAGTGCCTGCCCCTCATTGATTCCACAGACAGTTAACTTTCCATATTTGTGGATGAGAACAGCAGAAGCTGGACACCAAAAACAGGGGTGAGGGAAGATGTGTCATGGAACCAGACTCCTCCTCACTCCACTTTGCCCTGATGCAGGTGAAGGAATATTCATCCTCTTTTTTCTCTATGGAGTAGAAAGAGGGAGAACAGCTTTCACTGAGGATTAGGGTACACCTATCTGGAGACATTAACTTCTGGTTGTTTCTAAAACAATCTTGTGAATATGCTCTAGGCCTCTAACCCCCAAAAGAACAGTTTGTTAGTTTCTGCATTTGACATCCTTCAGCACTCTGCTGGTTAAAAAAAGAAAAACAAACAAACAAAACAAAAACCAAACCCAACGCTTCTGGGCATTAACAGGTTTATAATACTGCACTGACTACTCCCAAAAACCATCATTCAGGAAAAAAAATTAAAGCATGAATGCAATTCAGCAGTAGTGCTCTGCTGAATCAGACAAAAAAGTATCATTTGCACAATGTAAACAAACTTCAGAAATTGTTACATACACCTTCTTGTAATTTTTAAAAAAAGTGGGCAAGAAACCAAATTGATTTATATTTTGTTTTATATTTTAAAATAAAAGCCATTATGTACGAAAATATCAGGGTTTTTTTAAAAAACATTATTTTTCTTAAGTGAAGTGAGAATACATTGTAAATGTCAGAGAAAAAAACTGAAACAGTCCACTGTACATTCTTGAAAATGAACTTCAAAGCACATCTGGTTTATATTTAACTAGTTATGTCACTGGAAACACAATCTAAACCACAGAGCTTGTTGAAAAATTTCAACTTTTGCAGACTCTGCAGCCTCAAAAACTCCCCCACTCCTCACAACAAACTGATAAAAAATTTCAGCTGAACTATAAATGAAAAAAAGTGAAAGGTTTTATTGGTTCTTCAGTCACTGATGAGAATTGTATTAATTGAAAATATTGTGAGTGATAGGCATCAGAGCATTTTCAGAGCACAGTGCAGAGGTTCTGTCTACAGAAGATTCTAACAAATAGTGAACTTGCAATTCCAAACTGAATTACACAGTGTTTCTTTAAAAACAGAATTTCAACAGAAAGAGATGAATTTATTCCTCTACTGCCAACCCACTCAATATTAAAAACAAAAAAGTAATACCCTTAATAGGTTTTATATACAGTTTTATGTCAACCCCCTTCTGATAAGCTTTTTCACCTGATCAGCTAAATTTAAACACTGATCTACCCATGAGATTCTAGATGAAGGTGACAGATCCTTCATGACCTTTGTATGGAAGTTAATGTAGATAATAATATTGAAAAAAAGACCATAAAAAAGGAGAAGCATTTTAGGATGATTACACTTAAGTTCAGAAAGGAAATACTCTTACAAATCTGAAGTTTTAGTTAATGATCAGTTGTTGGGGTTTTTTTTCCCCAAATGAGAAAACAGGATTTTTTTTCTTCCTTTAATAAAAAGCTTTATTATTTTAAATGTTACTGCCACATTCATGTTCAATCCCAACCTCATTGCTCAGAGTTCAGCAGACATACAGGATTTTGAAATACGGCCAAAAGAAGCACAGGCACTGTTATTCTATGAAGATGGCAAAATACCTTCCTTTTGACTAACAAGCTTAACCTGACGACCACCATGAAGAGAGATGAGACAGGGACAGATCTGTTCTTTTATAGAATCTTTTGGAATATCAAACAATACCCTTTCATTAGTCTTTGCAGGAGCCAAGGTACAAATATTGCAAATGTACACATGTATGTTCTTTAATGGATATCTAAAAAAAAATTATTACTAAAGAAAATGACAGTAAAACCCTCACCAAACCCACCAAATAGAAACCCAAACAGCCTTACTTAATGAGCTTGAATGATCATCTTAGTAACTATTCTTTCACAGCAGAACAGATTTTAATTTAGGTAACAATCTGTTTAAAAAAGGTGCATGTGCATTTTCAACCTCATGCTCAGGTTGGTTCGAGGTGTGAAATACCTCAGTTCCTAGCTAACTGTCAAAGGCACTGTATGTGCTAGTTTAAATAAATCATTCTGGTTTAGAATTGATTCATAATTTGGAGAATGCACCTAGCTTCCTTAGACAAAAACTAGAAGTGGTCGTATTTCTTAGAAAAATGCACTAAGGTGCCATTAAGAGGAGACATGCCTGCCATTTGAATTACTGCTAATATCTTCTCTTCAGATCTTCATAGTAGATTCCTCTAAGTTCTACTTTATCTTAACTGTAATTTTATTTTTTTTAAATAGTATGGTTTTGCAGTCAATATCAGCTAGCAATGCTATCTAAAGAAGTCACCCTTTCCTCGACGAACTACTAATTCAAATGAATTTGTAAATCATTTCCACTCAAGAATAACTTTCCCTCATGCTCTTCTCCACTTAACACCCCACTCACATAAGATAAGGGACTCCCAGACTTGGTTAACTGTGTCCTGATCCCCAAACTACTTCTAGCACAAGAGAAAACACATTGCAATGACGATAAGGATGCCCAGAAGACAGGAAAGATCACTTTTTTCCTAAGGCTGTGGTGGCTCTGTGGTGGTTCAATGTAATCAGGAAACCACTAGTATGACTATTACTGATGGTATCAAAAAACAAATTTACATTTCATATTTTAAATTCTATATATGTTTTATTTCAATAATTTTGACTAGTTTGTTCGCATTTTGGCAACTCATTATCTACGTTTTGGCCAGTGTTATGCTCTGAATTTGATGGCTTGCTCATCTTCATAATGAACACCTCCCTTTACTATATTATTCTATTTTTTTTTCTTTCTAGAAGATTCCTTAATAAACATGCATATTAAAGGACACATGGTAAGCTATTTTCACAGCTAGAAATCTTACAGTGTACAGAAAGTAAACATATAGACAGACCCTGAAGAATAAATTTCACCTGAACATTCTGAATTCATACTAGTGTCCTGGGTTCACCTACAGCAGTCATTTTTTCTCCTTCTTAGTAGCTGGTGCAGTGCTGTGGTTTTGACTTTCAGCCTGGGAACAACGCTGATAACACCGATGTTTTTAGTTGTTGCTCAGTAACGTTTACTCTGACCAAGGACTTTCTCAGTCTCAAGCTCTGCCAGGGAGGAGGGGAAGCCGGGAGGAAGCAGAGACAGGACACCTGACCACAACTGGACAACGGGCTATTCCATACCACAGCACATCATGCCCAGTACATAAACTGGGGGGAGTTACCCGGAAGGCCCAGATCACTGCTCAGGTGCGGCTGGGTATCGGTCGGCGGGTGGTGAGCGGTTGTGTCCTCTCCCCTTGTTATTTCCCTTATCATTATTATTGGTAGCAGTAGTGGTTTGTATTATACCTTAGTTACTGGAGTGGTGTTAGCTCAACCTGTGGGAGTTACATTCCTCCGATTCTCCTCCCCATCCCTCCGGCAGCAGAGGGAGCAATGGGAGGAGGGGGGAGTGAGCAAGCAGCTGTGTGGTTCCAGGTTGCCGGCTGGGCTTGAACCACGTCAACTAGGAATTGAGATTACTTAGCAGATCAAGCACTGTAAATCCTGTTTCTGCTATGTAACACTTTCATTGCTCTAACATCTGTGTTCATTAGTAATATCAGAAAGCAATTTTGATTATACTGTAAAAATATAGGACAATTCTAGTATTACCAGGCAATAATAATTCATATCCTGGAATTCAAACATCACATAAAGCATCAAAATAGCAGAATTTGATCAAGAATTAACTGCTGCCACAGATTGAAGGGAGAAAAGAAAGAACAGACTCTGTAATCAAAACAGGTGCATTTCCCTAAATGATAAACTAGGTGTCCTTGCTACATGATCAAGACCAGGCATATATTCTCCTTTATTCCAGCTTAAAAATCCTTTCCTCAGGAAACGAAAATATTTTCATATAAATATGAACTGATTACTTAGAAAAAAATTCAATTGTAAGAACTGCCATTCTGCAGCGAAATTACAAGAGGAATGCAATGATTTATACAATATTTCCATCTTTTCCTCTTGTATTCATCACCACTCTTAATCTTTGTGATTGTTTAATGTTATATAATAAGCAATGAAATTAACACAACTTGGAATTTTTTCACCTTCACATGTGTCCGTCCCAGTGCTGAACACATAGCCCTTTGGACAAGTGCAGCTGTAACTTCCAGGGGTGTTTCGACAGAGACCATTATCACACAGCAGCCCATTCATTGAACATTCATCGATATCTGCAAAAAGATGAATTAGACATGCCAGTGAATGCATATGCCATGATATGCCTTCACCTCCACAAGTAGTCCCTGTTGCTTTCTACAGCAACAACTAGGTTGCTGGGTACAGAGTTTTCTACAACAGTGACTGAGCAAGGAAAAATGCCAGTTCTTAGTTCCAGAAGTCCAACTGGTTTTCAGATTCTCATTACCAAAATTTCTGTTCTGCTTTTGACGTTTTTCACTAACAGACTCTAAAAACAGTTCATGGTTTCTCTTATGTTTTCCTGAAATGACCTTGGATTCTTTGTCAATGTATGCCTATATCACTGGAACAACTTCATGAAGGCCTATTTTTTTTTTTAACACACAAAAACAATGTGTTAGATTACTGTTCTGGCTTATGGGCAAAAATCATTTTTGTTATCCATGAAATGAATATGGGCATTAAAACCTAAATTTTACAGTTCATGTATGGCAGACATCCCAAGAGTACACATATGTACATCCCCTCCCAAGATCTACTGTATTAAAAAAACACCAATCATTAAGACCAGGACATCAAGCACATTAAACGGGAAAAAAACATAAATTGACATTTTAGGTGGTCTTGACAAATGCTGTACATTAAAATACACAAACTGATCCATGGTTTTGAGAAAATTAATTCCTAACCTGCAATGATATTTCCTGCTTACACTCTCCAAACAGCAATATGCCACATCAAATAGGAAAAAAAAAAAAATTAGTAAGAATATTAGCATTTTCATTAGAGATTTTTTGTATTTTATTGTAGCTACAAGAAGTAGAAGTCCTGCAACCTAAATTCTGTCAATTCAAATTAGCATCAATATAGTGATGAATTATTAAACAATAATAAAAAAAAATAATCGAGCAAGTTAACTTACCCACACAATTCCTTCCAGAAAGATCAGGCTCATAGCCACTGTTACAGTTACAACGATAGCTGCCACGTAAGTTTTCACAAATTCCATTGGAGCAAATATCAGGATCCAATGCACACTCATTAATATCTGTATTAACACAACACATAAAATAACCAGATACTGAAAGATATGAAAAGCATAATCCTGTGATAGATGTGAACATCTAACTTACTGGATGTTGAGAGTATCGTTCAGAGCAAGGATATAGCAGGGTGCAGCCAGAAGGCTAAAAGAAGTGATTGTTTCCCTCTATTCAATACTAGTAAAGCCAAACCTGGAATACTGTGAACAGTTTTGGGCCACTCCATGAAGTTCACATGGTCCCACTCCTCAAGCCTGCCAAGATCTCTCTCTTGCTTCTAGCAAATCAACTGCACCACTCAGCTTGGTGTCATGTGCAAACCTGCTCAATCTATGTGTGTCTTTGATGAAGACATTAAACAGTACTTGTCCCAGTATGGACCCTTAAGGGACACCACTTGTTACTGGTTTCCTCTGGGCCATTGAGTTATTGACCATAATTCTTTGCACATGACCATGCAGCCAGTTCATTAGCTATCGAACAGCCTATGCATCAAACCCATCTATCTCCAATTTAGTAAAGACAGAAGAATGCTGTGGGAGACTGCATCAAAGGCCTTACAGATCTTCCCTTGTCCACTGGTGCAATCACTCTGTTGTAGAAGGCCATTAGATTAGTTAAGCATGATTTGCCCTTGGTGAAGCCATGTTGGCTGTCTCTAATCACCTCTTTCATGTTTTGACATAACAGGAGGATAAGTTCCATGATTTTATCATGTGCTGAGGCGAGACTGAATGCCCAGCAGTTTCCAGGGTCCTCCTTTTTACCCCATTTTAAAACTGGGTGTGATAGTCCCTTTAATGCACTCACTTGGGACTTTCTTGGCGTCAAATATGATGCAGAGTGGCTTAGCAACTGTATCTGCCAGCTCCCTCAGGTGCACCTCACCAGGCCCCATAGACTTGTGTATGTTCAGGTTCCTTGTGTGGTCTTGAGCCTGATCTTTTCTGATGATGGAAAGGACTTCGTGCCCCCAGTCCCTCCCTTTATGTTCAACACTTGAGAGATACGGGAAGAGTGATTACCAGTGAAAACTCAGGGAAAAAACCAACTGTTAAGTACCTCAGCCTTCTCCATGTTGTTAATCACTATTTCTCCTGTCTTATTTATCATGTTTGTGCGTGTCTGCATACATTTTCTTGTAATTGTCCTTTTCTGACCAACGTACCTGTAGAAGCTTGTCATATTCTTCACAGTCCTTGCCAAACTCAGCTCCAGCTGTGCCCTAGCTTCTCTGATCCCATGCCTATACATCTGGGCAGTGTCCCTGTATTCTTCCCAGGATACATACCCCTGGTTCCACTGCCCATGCATTTCATTCTTACACTTAGTTTGACCAGGAGGTCTTCACTCAGCCATGCTGGTCTCCTCTCTTCTTGCCTGATTTCTTACACGTGGGAACTGACAGCTCTTGTGATCAAAGGAAAATGTCCTTAAAAAGCTGACAGCTCTGTTCTGCTCCTGTCTCCCTAAGGGCAGTTTCCCATCCACTAGCTCCTTAAACAACTCAAAGCTTGCTCTCCTAAAATTCAGGGTCCTGGCTTTACTCTTCACCTTGCCCATACCCTAAAGATCATAAGTTCCACTAGGGCATGATCACTGCAGCCCAGACTGCCACCAGTCTTGACTTCTGTAACTAGTTCATCTGTGCTGATATGGAACAGGTCCAGTAATGCTTCTCTTCTGGTTAGGCTGTCTGTCACCTGGATGATGAAATTATCCTCAGTGCTCTCCCAGAATTTCCTGGACTACATACAGCTTGCCTTGCTGTTTTTCCAGCAGATGTCAGGGTGACTGATGTCCCCTAGCAGGATCAGTGCCTAATGTATGAGAAGGGGCTGAGGGAATAGACTTGTTTAGCAAGCAAGAGGGAAGATGAGAGGGACATCAACAGCAGTTCTGTGATCTCAATAGATGGTCACAGAAAAGATGGAGCCAGAATTTCTTTGAGGTTCACAATGGCAGGAAAAGTAGCAACAGTTACAACAGGGGAAATTTTAACTGAACACCAGGAAAATAATTCTTCCTCATGGGAATAGTTATGCACTAGAGCAAGCTGTCCAGAGAGGCTATGGGAACACCATCCTTGGAGATTTTACAAACTTTATTGAGCAAGACCTTAAGAAACCTGATTCACCTTTGAAGTTACCCCTGTTCTGAGCAGAAGGTTAGGCTGGATGACCTCCAGATGTCTTTTCCAACCTGTATCAATAGGGGCCTATGTGTTTATAAGAATACCTTGATGCAAAATATCTCTCCTATGCACTCAGTGACTGTGGTTTAAATTAGGTAAGAAGTTATACATTATTAGGTGACACAAATACTTTTCCTAATACAGAAATGATGCATATACTCAGTCTTACAGAAACTACAGCACTTGTTGGAAATACAGATTTTTTCTTGGATTGACAGAATAGAATGATAAATGAGATATATTCCCTGAATTTACAGTCCCATATAGAATTTCTGCTGTTGTTGGAAAATTCCAAAATATTCTTATAAGAACAGGAGCAGGCTAGTTTTAATTTTTTTTTCCCTCTGAGGAAAAGAGGATTTTTCAACATTATTTCTTCCCATACGGTAAGCCCATTACTTTAAATAGTTCCCTTTCCAAACCCTGGAAAGAACAGTAGGGGTGCTGGCCTAGCTGTGACTTCATGAAAAGCTTGGTTTATACTTGTATTGCTCAACTTTTTATAAAGGACATTTCCTTTTTAATCATAATGCAGTTTAAATCATGATTTACATACACTCAGGTATACATTTGGAAAAATCATGCTATTCCTCGATTAAAGTCAAAGCTATGAGACATCTGAAAATTTCACAAGAAAATAGGAATCAGCATAATAATTCAGCTTTATGTTTTTAATTTTCAGCAAAAAGTTTCCTGTAGTTTACTGAACTTGTTTGTATCGTTGGGACAAGCCCCACAATTTCATGACTCTATTGCTTTGTATCAAATTCATGATTTCATAAGGTCCAGTCCTTCGTGTTACTTTCTATATTGAATCAGATTGCAACATATCTGTCCTCACGTATGTCCAGATTTCTCACACGAAGACACGAAGGTTTTGCATTTGTTAATCACAAGCTGAATGAGAGGACTAGGCATGTGGTTTTGGACTGCAGCTGAATTAACAAACTATGTATCATCAACAAAAAGTCAAACAAAATCTCTATGACAAGAGCTTCACTGATAAAGAGTGAGTGCATTCCCATTCAATCTTGATAATAAGAATTCATGAGGAACACAACAGAATTTTTATTAGGGATTGAATGTGGGATCAGAATTCCTCTCCTTTAGGAAACGGAATTGGCAAACAAAGACCCTTGGTATAAGCAGTAACAGGAGTAGCAACAAAGAAAACTGTATGTAAGGTCACTGCACAAGATGTATGGAAAATACTAGAGTTTTCTTAAAAAAACTAAACAAAGACAGACTTTAGCTGAGACATGAATCCCTGAGAAATTGTAGACTTTATCATGCAGTTGTTGGAGACGACAGTTAGTTTTATGTTTTTAGTGAAAAACTGTATTTCTCATGTATCCAAAAAAACATATAACTTCTCCAACAGACTACATGCAAATTCTCATGGTAGGATGCTGTTTGTACAGTATACTGCCATTATTTTTCTGTGAGATTTAGAGATTCTTCAGATGGACCTTTTATATTTCACTGAAAACTAAGAAAATTTACAAACTCTGTGGATTTCAAATTACTTGTAAATTTGGCAATGTGTTAAGCAATGAGCTCATACAGAAGAAAAAACTATGCATACATACTTACAGTACTAAACAGAAACAGAATTTCTTTTATTATAATACTATTTTTAAAAGTTATGTAGGCTGTTACTAAGTATAACGATGTTCATGCTGACCTGAATTGGAGCTTTAATGATGGGAAGGATAAAAGCTACACAAATTAAATGCCTTGAAATTGTAAATGTACAGTATCAACTTTAATTTGGCTGCAACTTTATTAACTCATCAGGGAACTATCTAGCAATAAATCATAACACTGTGTTCCATCACTCCTTCTTCAATGTGCTCTACTTACTTGGCAGCTGCAGCCTGCATTGCCCCTACTTCAGGCCTGGCTCAGTTATTTTAATATTCCTCTCTCTGAGGTACTAAAAAGGGAGCTGGAGCTTTACAGTTCCCAGTACTAAATGCAAGTACTCACTTTCAGGACTTTTTTTAGAAGGATCTTTTTTAGTAAGCTCCCTTCCAACTCTAACTCACTAGAGAAAAGATCTCTCCATGGAAAAGGTCCACATAGGGAACACTGGATCTTAAGTGGAAAATTGTTCTATTACTATCCTGACTATGGCTGACTGATAGTCAACTGCAAATGTAAGTGGCTCCTGTCATTCTCCAAATGAGGGTGAACTGTTTTATGCGTATTCTAAGAAAAAGAAATTGTAGGCCAAACCTTTAAAATGGTTGATTCTTTCTTGTCAGGGTCAGGCAAAATCCAGTGCTGTAGAGAATTCTGGATTTTTCTTTAAACAAAATTTAATTACTGTATTTGACAGTATAGATACTGAAGTCGACATACTAATCTTGAGGCAAAAAACCTCCACTTCAGCATGGCAAAGAAAAATATATTTTATTTTTTTTTAACCTTGAATGATATGTATTAAAGAAAATGTGCAACATACCTCGTCCATCCACAGTAATACCTATTCCGCTGCTACACAGGCCATGGAATTCAGCTACTCCATCGAAGCAAAGAAGTGTTGGGGAAAAAAGAAAATGTTATTTCCAGTGTTTCATCTTCTTTAATCCTAACCCAAACCCACCCGATTTCTTTCAAAATAATTTTTCTACAATGTAACTAATAAAATGCCAATGTTCACATCAAATAATTAATAGATAATATTAATAGATAATATAGCTAAATATGTCAAGTAGCATTCCACCCTGTACTTTCACATATGTACAAACTCAAAATTTGGTAACAAGAATTAAACACTTTACAAGATTTCATTATAGTCTTGATAGTACTGTGTCCTTAAGTTACTGCTTTCAACCACAGTGCCAGTTTTACTTTATTTCTTCTAAATACTTTCCTGCTATCTCAGAAATCACTGAATGGAAATACTGTCCAAGACACATCATCTCTGTTCTATATTCAAGAGATTATTTTTTACTGAGTATCAGTTTTATCTGGAGAACTGATTCAAATGTAGCATAGATTTCTAAAATTAATATAGGCTGCTCTTTCAAACTGGATTGATCTGACTACAAAGTTTACAGATTCATCAGACAACTCTGAGTATTCTCTTTAAAGTATTACTACTTACAGCCAAATAAAGGAAAAACCTGATCTGAATATGAGTTTTTTAAGTCTGTATGTTCACTGTAGTGTTCAAAGAAACATAAAATTTTACCTGAGTTTTTAGCAGGGCAGGGGTGACATGGCTCTCCAAAACCATAGTCAGGATTAGCACAGCAACATTCAGATTTTGTCACAGCACCAGGAAAAGGACGGACACATGCTCCTTTTTTAATGGCTCCATAGCATGTGCTACGCATGTGAGTATCTGAGAAAGGGCAAGCAAAAAAATAATTTATTTTCTTAGGCTGCGAGTGAAATGTATGCAGACTATGTCAGTGAGAGCCAAAAAAATTTAAAAATTTGTTCAACAAAATGGTTATGTTGGCTACACCTGCATTGACCTGCTACAATAATCCTGATGGCATCAAGGCCAGTCCTCAAAATAGCTCCTGGAGCTGTGTCCAGAGCACATCAAAACCACCTAGACTAGCATATTGTGAGCAAATTTAAGAGCATTCCATAGGACCAAGCAAAGATAACCCAAACAACGAGAGCAGCTTTGTAATTCCATCAACACGTATCCCAACAAGAAACACACAATGGCTTGAATCAGCCCATAGTAACTATTTTCTCCCTTTGTGAGGTACTACAACCACAACCTGGACATGTAGATATTTATTTACTTCCAAAATCGCTCCCCATGTATGATAACTCACCAGCAGCCCAGGGCTGGTAATACTGGAGGCTACCTATTTCCAAAAGGAGGAGCATAGCCTCCTACTGTTTTCACAAATTCTGAACAGAAGTGCAATTTCAGCAGATTGTTCAGACCAGCATTTATGTGACATGGCTATCTTAATAGGCTTATACGTAAACTGGCACTGGGCTAGAACATGGCTTTTATTTATGCTCGTTGTCAATCTCCCTGTAAAACTACCATACCTTACGGCCTGGACATGAGCCTGAGGGCACTCAGAAACTGAGTATGGTGTGAGGGAATCCAGACACCTACTTAAAAGATGACCCCAAAACCAATGAAGAGAAGCTGCATGAAAAATCTTACAGTGAATGTTGCATATCCTGTGCCAATCCAAATAAGAGCTGGCAATGCCTTACTGCCTGCTCTCTGAGTGTTGTAAGCTGGCTACTATAAAACAGGATTGCCTGTACATAGATGTTTTCTCTTGCTATTGGTATCCCATGGAACAAATAGTTCTAGAGCATGGTTAAATGTGTCTCAGATTTCATGCTTATTCCTTGCCAACAGTCTAGGTGAAGCCAATACAATTTGCTTGCACTTCACAGCAGGAAAAGATTACTATGCTTGATAACAATCAAGAATTTTTGCACAAGAAATGTCTGTTCCTTTACTCCGCAAAATAATTAGTTGCATCACATCCTCTCCTAGTCCAGATGCCATTCGGCCATGCTCTGCCATGAATAAAAGGCCTTCTCACAGGAGTGAAAGCTTCCCCTTTCTTATGTGTCTGGGAGTAGAATGGAGAAGCAATTCGAGGAAAGGAAACAGCACTGAGAGAAACTGCAGGGGGAGGAAAGACTGGAAACTGAAAGAAATTCTCTGTAGGAAAGTCTTCAAACATGTGAAGTGTAGGAAGCAGCTGGAGGAAGCTACAGATGTACTGAGCAACTGCCCAGCATAGGAAGAGAGCTTTCCCACATAAGGCAATGTTTTCATAGAAGCAGCACAGGGACTCTGGGGAGGATTGCCTAATTATTTATAAGAAAACAGTCTTATCTACACAGTCAGTGGTTCACAAAGCCTGTGCAGGATGAAGAACCAAGCTGCTCCCTCAGAACCAAAATAGTGATCATGTGATAGGAGGAATGTTCTCCCGGGCTGTGCTTCCCATGCTGATACCAAAGATGAGAAGGTGTCCTGGGTTCACCTACAGCAGTCATTTTTTCTCCTTCTTAGTAGCTGGTGCAGCGCTGTGGTTTTGACTTTCAGTCTGGGAACAACGCTGATAACACCGATGTTTTTAGTTGTTGCTAAGTAATGTTTACTCTGACCAAGGACTTTCTCAGTCTCATGCTCTGCCAGGGAGGAGGGGAAGCCAGGAGGAAGCAGAGGCAGGACACCTGACCCAAACTGGCCAAAGGGGGATTCCATACCACCGCACGTCATGCCCAGTATAGAAACTGGGGGGAGTCATCCGGAAGGCCCAGATCACTGCTCGGGTCGGGCTGGGTATTGGTCGGCGGGTGGTGAGCGGTTGTGTCCTTTTCCCTTGTTATTCCTCTTATCATTATTATTGGTAGCAGTAGTGGTTTGTATTATACCTTAGTTACTGGAGAGCTGTTATCTCAACCCGTGGGAGTTACATTCCTTCGATTCTCCTCCCCATCCCTCCGGGAGCGGGGGGAGGAAGGAAAAGGAGGGGGAGTGAGCGAGCGGCTGCGGGGGTCCAAGTTGCCGGCTGGGGTTAAACCACGACAGAAGGACAGGCATTACTTTGTCCAGAGGCTATAAGCACCTCACCAAGCTCAGGTTCCCCATGTCACAACAGTTCTGAGTATGGACCTTACTGATGAACCTACACTACTCTCATCTATAGCTTGATCAACCTTTGGTTACTAAATTCAGAACTTATGTCTCGGATCAGAGTTTAGCATTGATGCTGCTGTAACCATGTATCTGTTTCCATAAGAACCATGTTTCTCCATCCACGGTTTCCCAGAGAATAGTATTTCTAGACTCCTAAATGTTGTGGTGTAGCACTTCAACAGCTGTACATGTTATCGCCACCATACTTGTGGTCAAGGTGGTTGACCTTTTCCAATGCTCAAATCATACAATGCTCATGAAAGACTTTGAGGTATGGTTCTGCAAAATAACCAGGGTAAAATAAAACTGTGATTTTATCCTGTATGGCTATAGCTTTGGATAGATGTGAACTACAAACTGAATTATAATTTAAGTGTCTCAGCAGAGAGCCAACAACATTGCACAAAGCTTCAGCCACAGCTCAGTACAAGTTCTGAGGTTATGACATAACCAGCTGGCCTGATCTAATACCAGTCCCACAGCAGCCCTGTAACCAGTAGCATCTAGTGCACAAGGCCATATAACAAAAGTGAAGCTGCCAAAGAGGAATTTAAGCTACTTGTCTTTTAACACTAGGTACAGGGGATTGCATTGTGCAAAAATTCCTAATAGTTCTTAATAGTGATATTTATGTTCACAGAATCAAGTCTATCCAGTTTTCACTATTTCTCCTGCTCAAGGTTTTTGAACACCATGATACAAGAAAAATAAAATATTTTCAGATTAAAGAATTGAAAAGGGGGGAGTTGACAAATATCAGTGCTGCAACTGAAATATGTAGCTGTTTAATGATTTGGAGTGGATGATGCACAACTGAACATAAATACAAATACATACATGCACATGCACATGCATGAACACAAACACATAGCAAAACAAAGCACAAATACTCCAGATTTATGCTGGAACAGATCCTGTGTGGTTTGATGTCAACATTATCTGTAAGAATGCCATCTGATGCATTCCTTTAATTTGACAACCTGATAATTCCACTTGCTTTTTAATGAAAAAAAAATAATTTACACTTACCTACACACACACGACCATCAACTCCAACAGCCAAGCCAGGTGGACACTCACACTGAAAGGATCCTTCAGTATTTATACAATGACCATTCATGCAAATTCCTGGTGTCTGACATTCATCAATATCTAATAGGAGGCAATGCAATTAGCTGTCTTTAAGCAAGATTACAATTAATATTTTTAGAACATTACCAAATTACTTTATGATAGCCGATGAATCATCAACGTATCCTTGTTTGTTTCTAATAAAAATCCCATTTTGGAATTACACTAAATAAAAATGCCAGCTGCACATTAAAAAAAGAAAAAAAAAATCACAAAAAATCCAGAAGAAATGTAGGATTAGAGGCACTTAAGACTCTACATTATGCAAAATTAATGATATATCTTCCCCTTGTCTATTTCATGATACTATAACTTCGTTTTAACATGTGGTTAAGGAAGCACTAATCAAGGAGTATCTATAGGATGATAAATTCTAATTTCAAAAAACTTTTCAGTGGTCATTAATTTCTATCAATTTCTATCAAAGTCAACAGGCCAGCTGCATGCATATTATATTAATATATGTACATATATTAAGAAAGCCACAGTTAATAGAAATACTTCAACTTCAAATCAGAGAACAAACGATTTAGATGATTTTGTACTTACTAAAAATAACTCAGGCCCAAACCTCCTTTTACTTGCAGCAAGTATCTTCCATTGGTTTGCTTAAACTAATGCTAAAACAGACTAAAAATCTTAAAATGTTAATCTAAGATTTCAATGACCTCACTTTAAAAAGTTTTTAATGTTATGTGGCAAATACAATGTCTTATGACTTATGCACTCAGAATTGCCAGAATAATGCTGTGGAAAACATACTTGTGTGTATTCACCAATGTAAAATCTTTTGAACTTGCCATACTGATGCTCACTTTAACATTTCATGAATGGCCTGCATATTTTGCTGCATTTACAATGCTCCAAGACTTCTCTCAAAGTTGTTTATCATCTGTTGTAGCTTTCACAGTACTATTAAGTAATTCATTTATTTCTTTCTGCAAGTTAAAGACCTATTTCTACTCCAGGCAGCTTAAGTAATCTCCTGTAACGAGTTAGTAAAGTATTAGTATGATTATTAAATCCATTTGACAAGGTCGCAATTCTTGCATGAATGAATGGACAGGAAAAGACATTTTCAAACAAGATTGCCTTAATGCATTACTTCTCAGTTGTACATACCAGTGCAGTAACGCCCATTTGGAGCCAGAACAAATCCTGGTTTGCAGATGCATTTAAAACTGCCATCTTCATTTATGCACATCCCATTTAAACACATGTTTGTAGTGGTACACTCATCATGGTCTGCAAAATATTGTGAAGAAAACTGCTCATAGTTCCTCACCTTCCAGAAGATGATGCAGTAAATATAAACAATCAGGACCGATGTGACATATACTTTCACCTGAATATTAAATTCTACTCTTAACTCTGATGAAGCATCTGAACAGTATTCACTCTACAGACAAAACAGATTTTTTTTTTTCCCTGTTCTGATCAGTCACTTTCCATGTTTCAGCGGACTGTGTATGGAAGAAGAGGGTGTATCTTTCCTTCTCACATGAAATGATAAAAAGCTTCAATCGCCTGACAGAATTAAGAACTTGTTATTTGTCTAGGAATTATTTTTTTTTACACAGTATAGTCAAAATTAAAACCAGTTATTTCTTCAGCAGTGCTGGTACATGGAGCACTTTCTATGAAGCTTAGGGAAAAATCTTATTCCCGGCACTGAGTTACCCAGAACTCTTGAGGAGAGATGCAGCCTCTGAAATAAAATTACTTCAGATTTTCTCTCCAAACATGCAGTTCTGCACAATAACTATTTGAATTAAGGGGGTATAAGTTCACCTCAGGTCACATATTATTTCAAAAAAGTTAATCCTTCATGATTCTCAATTGTAATATGAAGTACAGTTTCTAGAATGACCAAGCTAATGCCTGTCCTGTTATTTAGAAGAGTTCTTACCCACACAATTTTTTCCATCTGTAGTCAGTTCAAACCCAGCATTGCAAATACACTGGAAACTTCCATCAGTGTTTACACAGCGGCCATTTTTACAAAGAACACCATTCTGGATGCATTCATCTATATCTAACAACAAAAAACCCAAACCCACAATCAGAGAGTTACTGTAAAATAAAAATATTTATATAGTGACAATTACTGCTTTGAAAAATACTGGCATGTTATTTAAATATTACTTAGAAAAAAAAATCCAATGATGGTTAAGAATTTATTCTAATTTCATCAGATATAAGAAAGACTTGTACAATAAATGTTGTGTTTTGCAGTGCTCAGCAATTACGAGTATCTTTAAAAAGCTACTCACACATTCATGTGCGTGTGTACATACATAAGTATACACCGGTCGTACAAATAGTTTTGTAGAACTCCCAGCTAAGGAATTCCCTGATCAAGTGACAGGTTTTTCAGAATAATGGATAAATGTTAAAAAAACCCAGAACAAATGGTATGTTAGCTGAGAACTAGAGCTCCAATTAATACAGCAACTGTTTGGGTTTACTGAAATCACACTGCTAAGTACTTTCTGAACTCCAATGGGATCTGACATAAAGGGTCAGAACATCTGCAATGTCAGTAGATATGAAGTAAATTTTCTTACCAATGCAAGCTTGCTTGGTTGGAGTTCTTTGGAAACCTGTGTGGCACTTGCAGTAATAGGAACCAGGTGTGTTGACACAGTCTCCATTAGAGCATGGGTTAGATGTGCATTCATCAATGTCTGTTGGCAGCACAGAGAAGCATTAGTAAATTCACAACGTATACAACATCTTTTTCAAGTCTTGAAGTTTCTAAGTGAAAAAGACTGTAACTAACAGTAAAATGCTAAATAGTAAAAAAAATCAAACCAAAAACCCTTGTTCTTTACTTTTGTAAGAACACAGAGCTGTTCTTAGTCCAAACAGGCAGACATTTTGAAGAAGTGAAATGCTACTACATCATTATACACAACTTGAGACAAAATAAAAAATATGTAAGGATTTTGAGACATGAGATCTGACAATTGCCTAGTGAAAATGAACCACACTCTATTCAATATAGTTTAACAGAATGACAATTCATTCTTCTTTGGAATAAAACCAATGCAAAGCAAAATTGGCATTTAAAAATCAGAGCAAATCATGGCATCCAACACCCCCAATTCCCCATTTTATTAAGTTTATTGTAGCAGTGTGAGGAAGGGCCACACAGCAGCAGGGGGGATTCTTAATGAGAACACAGTCTGCGCACCACATCTCAATTATTTATGGCCCATTCATCCTCAACCTTAGTCTCTGCATTTGAATAATGCCAGACTTAATCTAGCCCTTCTCTATAAAGCACTTTATGCTCATTTCCAAGGGTCTTTGGTAATTGGGTGCAACCAAACACACTTTAACCACCTTACATCTTAGGTAACTGTCCAGAAATAACTCCCATTTGACACAGACCTCTGAAAACTAACTCCTTTCAAGAACCCTTTCCAAATTTGTTCCCCAGAACTTACCAATGAATCTGCTGTGCCTTTGACCTCAGACAGCTATTTCAAGCTCTAAAGTAACACTGATAATTCCTCCCCATTATATTCCTCTAAATACTCCCCTCTGTGATCCCAGGAGCAGAGTGAGCATATCCCTCTGGTCTGGCAGGCAGGATTGCTGGCTCAGTCTCTCCTGCATCTACCAGATGATGACCTGAGCAACTTGTCTCTGCTACAGCTAAATTCACAGGTTACAAACTGAATGGATCCCTTGATCAAATCTCTCTTTTTTCATCAATCATCTTTTCCAATTTGACTTTTTTTTCCCTTCAGCTATGCCCTCCGTTCCACTTATAGGTCTGAAATTACTCATCTGTTCCTTTAGGTAGGCTTTAGCACCACAAAACCAGCAGTGATTTGTGGGGGTTTTTATCTGACTGTAAGCTCTCATAGGAAGCTGGGGCTAAATAAAGCTACTGCAGATCAATTCTTATTAATGATAATTTTCCTAAGCATTTCACAGTGTATGCCAAAACAAATAGCAGGAAAAACCAAGGGTAATTTTGCTGATGATTTGTACTCACCCTTTATCACACCTAGTTTTAAAACTTAGTTTATTACATCTTGGAAACAATGGCAAGGAATGAGAAATTAAACTTACAAGAACATTGCATGTAAAATACATGTGTAACTCTATAAGGTGTTGTGCCATGAATGACTTGATTCTAAAAAATGGCAAAAGCTTAGTTTTGTTCTAATTTAGCAATAAGGAAGACCATACATTTCATGGGATTTACCATGTTAATGCATACAGTTAAAAAGAATAGCATCAATATACATATCAAAGAGATGTGGGATTACCCAAATCATTGATTTAATGATCTTGTTTATAGCACTCTTGGTGCCTAGATACAATCAGACCATTTTGGGTAAACAGTTACATGAATAAAAGCAAAGCAAATGGAAAAATCAAAGACCTCCTCTCATGCATATTTAGCTCATTCACATTTGTACAGCAGCTGATAGCACCACTCCAATAAAACCACAAGAATGAAGCAAGATAAAGAGAAATTCAGAGAGCTATATACAATGAAGAAAACAGTAACTCTTATCTTTATACTGCAGTAGACTTCTATGTAATCATAGTAGTTTCCAGCTCTCATGCTTCTCTACAGTCCCTGGCTGTTGGGATGCTCTGTCTCATGAGTGCTAGAATGGGTGTTTTTTCCACAGTGCTCAGCTGATATGAGGGGGACAAGGAGGATCGCACATAATTCCTTCAGAACTAAGACCTCAACTACCAATAAAATGTCAAACTCTAAATCATATTTTCACATAAATGTCTTATCAAATGTCTTAATTCAAATTACTGTATATTTATCTTGCTTTAGTATAGGGGAGGACAGGGGGAACTTACAAATACTAGATATGCCACTCCTCTATTTTTAGTTTTCCTGTAGAGAATGACATTTATGACTTATTTTATTAAAGCCTTCAACTTGCTTCATCTGTTAAAGAAAACATGTGCATGCTAGGAATGGACCTTACTGTAAACTAATTTAT